CTCATCCAACTGGCTGAAAGGTCTTAAGTGCGAAACAGAGGTTTCCCTACATGGAGATCAGAGCAGCTATAAAATTAGTAAGAGAATCATGCAAAGAATATAAGATGACAACTTTATAAAGGTCACACACATGTTGCTGTGAAAGCAAAAACTCAATCCCACGAGGGTGCAGATTCGTCTTCTTTTTGGTTATGGCATATGGCCAACATCTAGCATAATACGTGGCTTATGTTAGGGGCTCTGTAATCTCTTTGGATATAAATGAATGAGCTTGGATCCCAGTTCTATGACAAAAAATATAAATGAAACCATCAAAGTATGTTTGGAAGGAAAGTCGTTGAGAGCAGTCACCCCCTTCCAGAAAGATTGGCTCTGGAACTTTCTTACCTCTTCTCTCGTCAGCCCACAGCTCCTTTTCCTTTCAAATGAAAGCAACAGGATAATACTAATAATAATAAAAAAAAATACCAACCCTGAGAACATTTAGAAATTTACAAATCCTTCTATATCTCTTATGACCATGGGCTCTGACCTGTGTCACAAAGCCTATTACCAGGTAAGCAGTCAATAAATACATTTCCTTTGACTATTAAAATTAATGAAGTGTTATCAAAAGTAATTCCAGTTGGGTGGTAGAGAAAAAAAAATTAAAGCGACCAAAATAACTGCTGCTGAGGAAACATCCCAAATGAATAATCTGTTTCTTTTTCTGTTTATTCCCAAGAAAGAACAAGGCAAAAGAATTCTTGGTGTTTAAACATCTGATCACGAGTGCTACAGAGGAGAACTAAGACGTTCTCTGGGATTAGCAAGGCACGGGCATGGAGAGATAAAGCTCCACGCTGGTAGGAAACAGCAGTAAAGAATAGAAGCTACATGACCAGGGCTTTACTTCAAAGGAAACAAAGTGTGTACATGTTTAGGAGCCTGTAACTGAGTGATGAGGCCAGCCAGCCTTTATTTAAGGCTTTCACCTCGGAGGAAAACAATTTGTTTTTTCCCAAGGAGGAAGGAATGCTTTGATTAGTGCAGAAGTTGGTCAGAGCCTTTAGATGAGCACGTGGTCTCAAGTCTCAAATCCTCCTTGGAAGCGGCTGTCCTTGAATGAGTTAAATAAAGACTCCAGATGGATTAGAAAGGGAGTCAGCATTTAGCATCTCTTGGAGACAGACCCTGGGTTTAACAGGTTATTCTATGGCCTTTTAATGGATGAAGAAGTAAGATAAATTATTAAAATGATCTTTCAACTAAGTGAAACCACAATCCCAAACCAGATATGTATGTTTCAAAGCTCATATTTTAGACCTTTTCACTACACTAACATTTAAGATGTTTTCATTATGATATTAACAACTAATTTAAAATTTTTCATCACAGACAATAGGAAGGTGTGTGTGTGTGTTTGTGTGTGTGTGTGTGTGTGTGTGAATTACAATCTGGAAGTAGCTATCATTCTAATCTGAAAGCCACATGCCAGAGGCAGTCATGAACATTCTATCAGACAGGCTGCAGCCATTCCAGAGACGGCTACTTTAGGATTTCTCCTACCTATTCCTCTCATCAACTTACTAAATGCCAAATTGGGTTTTCTTTGGTGAAATTAGTGCTTTGTTAATCAGTATAAATGTTAGATAAATGTTAGGAAAGATATCTCAGTGGTGAAATTAAAGATGTTAAGTTTATGAAGCTTGACAAACCATCTCTCGCAGACACCTACAGCCTGTGTGAAGATGGCATAAGACAAGGGCACCTGTGACCTGAAGCCTTGGGGATGGTTCTGGAGTCTGGATTGCTTAACGATCTTGTGCCAGCCATCAACTTAGGAGCCTTTCTATGGCTTGCCACTGGCTGGGTGTAGCTGAATCCCGCTTCTAGAATACTGCTAAAGTTGCCCAGAGAGAACATTTTTTTTCAAGGTGTAGCAAGTCAGAGAGCTAGGACTTCACTGAACTCACAGAAGAGTTGGCATTAACTGCGTTCGTTGTTCCAGCTTGCTAATAAAAATGCTCATTCGGTACATGTCTGTATGAGCACCAAACTGTGGCCTGTGACTTCCTGTTACTGTTCTATGGTGGCTAAGCTATACAAGAGTAGCGAATTCTCACTTATCTCACTTTCCAGTGACTGATGTTGTCTTTCAGAAGAATTTGAAAGATGTGCATGCGAATTGGCTAAGGTTGATCTCTAATTCTGTTCCTCAAGATCATTTGTGGAAATGAGAAAAAAGTTGAAGCTCAGAATTCTTTTTTTTTCCCCCCAGCATTCTGCATTGAGTTCTAGGAGAGGGGGCCGAGAATTCAGAAATGTAACAAGTTCCTCTGGTGCTTCTCATATACTTCAAGGATTGAGCTAATGAACATATAACCAAAGATGTGTCATGATCATTTGCTAATAGCATTTCCCAGAGGCAGACCAAAGGCCCAAGAGGGAGGAAATATGCTCCTGACCACTGGGGTTGAAAACCAAAATCTGTAAAGCAATAGGAAAACAGCACACTATAAAGCCCTCATAGCTCATAAACGTTGTACCTTAAAATTGTTGGTTGCAGCTCTTAAGCTTCCCATCTAGATGGAAAGAGATCAAAACTCTGCTCTGACCTTAGGCTTTCGGCATGCTCATCCATGGCCAAAGATATTCCACTGTCATTTGGATGGGTAGGGATTATCAATAGCTTTCCAACTGACTACTGTGATCCATTTTCTATGTCAGCAATGGAAACTGTTGGCCAAAAGCCCATCAAATTAAATATGTTTTTGCAGGAAAACCAGTTGGGGTGTTGGGCTGCTTTTTTGCACATCAGTAAGCCCTAGTTTATTCCCTCATAAAACATCATGTCTGACTTTCACCCATTCATCAAATATTTATTGAGAGCCTTTTTGAAGACGTAGTTTGAACTTCCAGTGAACACAATGGAATATTCAAGAAAGAGAGCTCTAGCTCAGGTCTTTTGTCTCTGACTTGTCACCCTTCATTGTATCATGATGTATAGGGAGAAACACCCTGCTACCGGAGTCCGAGGTCTGGAGTTCCCTTGCTGACCACACACGCAGTGGCAGGTCAGTAGAGCTCTGTGGGCTTCTATTTTTTCTTTTCTTTTCTTATTTTTTAATGTTTACTTATTTTTGAGAGAGAGAGACAGAGTGTGAGTGAGGGTGGGGCAAAGAGAGAGGGAGACATAGAATCCGAAGCAGGCTCCAGGCTCTAAGAGCTGTCAGCACAGAGCCCGATGTGGGGCTCAAACTCACAAACCTGATCATGACCTGATCATGACCTGAGCCAAAGTTGGATGCTTAGCCGACTGAGCCACCCAGGTGCCCCTTCTATTTCTTCTTTTAAACAACTGAAAGTAGAGTGCTTGCCTTGCTTATTTTTCTAAATTTACCAATTCATTCATATTTATTGGTCATCTAAATGCCAGGAATTTTTCTAAGGCCTTAGAGGATACAACAAGGAATAAGATATACAAGATAACTGCTCTCAAATAGGCTTATTCTAATAATAGAAAAATATATAAATATAGTGATATATAAGTATTTAAATAAATACATGTGATTATTAATAAATATATTTTCAGAGGCAGATAGATGTACACCTATGTTTTTTTTTTTTTTTTTTTTAATTTTTTTTTTAACATTTATTTATTTTTGAGACAGAGAGACAGAGCATGACACGGGAGGTCAGAGAGAGGGAGACACAGAATCTGAAACAGGCTCCAGGCTCTGAGCTGTCAGCACACGAGCCCGGTGTGAACTCGAACTCCTGGACTGCGAGGATGACCTGGTGATGCGGCCCAGCCAACCCGGCCTGCTGGAGCCACCCAGGCGCCCCCACCTATGTTTTTTAAAGTTTAACAAAGCCTCTTCTAAGAAAGCAATTTTTCAGATCTCATATTGAGTGATTTAGGATGAGGAGACAATAATGTAGTGAAAGATATATTGATTTAAACAAAACACCTAACATTTTAATGAAAAGATGTCCCCACATTTCGTTAATGATTAAAAAAATCTGTCAGAATACATTTTTCAAATTAAAAAAATATTCCCAGGCCCATGCTACACTTTTTCACATATATTAGGATTGACTGTTTTAAGAGAACCTTCTTTTTTACTAATTTTTTCATTGCTTAAGAGCCAAGATATGTGTAATAAGATGGCTTTCCTATAAGTCAACCTGCGGTCAGCAGCCTCTAAGATGTTCTCATTACACGTCTCCTCAGGTAACCCCCTACCTTTAAGGGTAGGCTGGATCGAATGATTCACTTCTAACAAACTGTGTATAACAGAAGTGATGGCATGTCACTTCCAAGACTAGCTTAGAAAAAAACTTCAGTTTCCATCTTGGAAACTTTCTCTCTTTTTTACTGGCTTTCCCCTCCTCTCTTGGCTTGAGGAAGACCAGCCCCCCAAAATCAGAGACATGTGGAGAAGAACCAAGGTGCCCCAGACAACAACCAGCACCAACTGTCACCCTAGTGAGTGTACCTTCCTGGAAACACTCTCGAACCCAGTCAGGGCTTGAAATGATGCAGTCACATCTAAATGATGCGCTTGGGTATAATAACCTCATGAGGGACTCTGAGTCAAAATCAGCCTGCTAAACTATTCCTGAATTCATGATCTAGAGTAATTGTGAGACAATGTTGTTTTAAGGCACTAAGTTTTGGAGTAAGTAATTACACAGTAATAGGTGACTAATACATAACCCAAGGACCTGATTCTTGAAGATAGTATTATGAGAATGAATGGACTCCGAATCTCATGCTTTACAGTTTGAATATTTGAATTAAACTAGAAGAATATGGTGACATCATGACATCATATGAATACCTTTATCATGAAGAAGCATAAATTTGCCACTCGCATTTCAGGTCACAGAATAAGAGTTTGGTCTTCTTCCTGAGATCTGCTGAGTCTACTGAATCAATTATAAATACTTCATAATCGAACTTCACTGAAACTCTAACAGCGTATTCGTTAACCAATAAAAAATGGCGGTCTTACCTCCAAAAAAGTACTTCTCGCCGGTTTTAACTTGAAGAGGACTGTTAGTTCGAACTGCTGAGGCCTCATCTCCATCAATGGTGAGAACAGCAAAATTTTCCTTGGCTAGGAAACGAACTTCATGCCACTGTCCATCATTCAACCCAGAACCTGTTAAGAAAAACAGTAAATTTATTTTCTAAAGATTGTACAGTTTAAAACAACCTTCAATATCAACAAGGTCAGATTTTACCTTTTTTACTGGTAAAAATTTATATATTTTCATCTAGAAAAATTCTGGGCTATTTGCAACTGATATCATGCTTCTTTAATATCATAAGGGATTTCATCCTCCATTGGAAAGATAAGGCAAAACAACCAATCAGTAGGAAAATAATTATTCATGTGCCATTGGTAGCTGGGAAAGCGAATGGGGTAAACAAAGCTGTTTGGGAGGTGATGATGAACTATGAAAAAATTTTTTTGACATTTATTTATTTTTGACAGAGACAGAGCACAGGTGGGGTAGGGGCAGAGGGAAGGAGACACAGAATCTGAAACAGGATCTGAGTTCTCAGCACAGAGCCCGACACAGGGCTCAAACTCACAAACCATGAGATTATGACCTGAGTCGAAGTCAGACACTTAACTGACTGAGCCACCCAGGTGCCCCAGAACTATTTTAACTTACTTATTTTATGATTAGGTTTACCAGAAGCCACTCTCAGGTAAGAAAATGGGCTTATAACTTTTATCTAAGTCTCTTTCTGTTTTTAAGAACTTTTTTTGTACTATTATTTTCTCTCAATAACCACATCTGACAAGTAGATATACATAGTTTATAGAAATGAAGAACTAAAAACATACGTGAATATGTGCTAATTAACCACTAATAAACATGAGAAATAATACCAGGGTTGTCTGGTCATTTATAAATAAAGTTTCTTTATAATGAATTAGGTTACATTTAAACAACAACAAAAACCCAACAAAAATAAATTAACAGCTCCAACCCTAACAACCACGTTCCATTGTTGCTTAGTACAAGGCTCTTGGGAAACAAACATTCCTCTAAGCTCTCCATTAGACAGACAATGACTTGAAGGTTTTGTTTAGTTTGTGTTCATGTTACAAAGAATAATTATAAAATTAAGGCGTAGACAAAGAAGATAAGCCACTGGACGTAAGCATCTGGAAAGAATTTATGAAACACACAGAGAGACAGAAAGAAGTCTAAGAGGGTCAGAGTGACTTTCTTTCAACCTGGCCTAGGCTATTACGGCAAAGGTAAGGGATTTTGGTCCAGTGTACTCCAGACAGAATACTTTAGCATCCACAGGAAGAAGTTACTTGGAAGATACACTGCAGATTCACAAAAGGCAGAGAGGCCTAACAGGTAGAAGCATCTAAGAATGAAGTCAACCAGGGCACAGATGACGGCTCCCAGCCTCTGATCAGAGGTTTACAAATCAGGTTAGGGGCCTTCGCTGGCCTGCTGCCATCTGTTTTTGTGGGGTCTGAGAGCTGAAAACAGTTCTCACAACTTTAAGGAGGTGAAAATGCATAAAAGGAATAATAATAAATTACATGGGAAAATGATACAAAATTGAAATTTTAGGGCCCACACACGGTTTTGTTGTAATACAGGCAGGCTCGTTTGTTTACATACGGTCTTGATCTACAAAGACAGAGCCAAGGAGCTGCTGCAGAGACATGTTAGTCACTCACAAAGCCTAAACTATTTACTGCGTGGCCCTCTGCAGAAAAAGCATAAACTGGTGGTTGGCTTATGCTATTAAACCGAAATCCCATTTAAAATTTTTTTTTTAACGTTTATTTATTTTTGAGACAGAGAGAGACAGAGCATGAACGCGGGAGGGGCAGAGACAGAGGGAGACACAGAATCGGAAGCAGGCTCCAGGCTCTGAGCCATCAGCCCAGAGCCCGACGTGGGGTTCGAACTCACGGACCGCGAGATCGTGACCTGAGCTGAAGTCAGACGCTTAACCGACTGAGCCACCCAGGCGCCCCCCGAAATCCCATTTTAATGAAAAAAATTAAAGTCTGTTGGAGCTTCTAAGATGGTCACATGTATGTAACATTTATTGGTGTTATACTGATAAATATCATGACAAATACCCACATTGCAGGTATTTCTTTTTAGGATTAAAAACATTTTTTTAATGTTTATTTATTTATTATTTTTTGAGAGGGAGGGAGACAGAGCGCGAACAGGGGAGGGGCAGAGAGAGAAGGAAACACAGAATCCGAAGCAGACTTCAGTCTCCAAGCCGTCAGCACAGAGCCCAACCTGCAGCTCGAACTCCCGAACTGCGAGATCATGACCTGAGCCAAAGTCAGATGCTTAACCGACTGAGCCACCCGGGAGCCCCGTTAGGATTCTTAAATTTTAATTTAGTAATACATATTGAGCACATTTTATTTCAGTGGAGGAAAAGAGAAAATCTTGGCTTTAAAGTAATTAATACTGAATAACTTCCAAGTTATGAAATGCATAATATGCATAATTGTATATATATATTTTTTTGTACTGTGAAATTACTATGTAAATGTAAAGTCTTATTCTAAAATTAAAACCAGCTAGCTGTCAGACAAGTGGTAGTGTTTACTGAAATATTTCCTTCTCCAGTAGGTACACTCGGGGTTCTCCCACAGAACAGATGAACACAACACTAACATTTTTCTTTAGAGTACAAAACTGGGCCTCGTGCTGATTAACCGTAGAAGCGCATGGTTTTGATTCTGGCTTTTGTTTTTGCCTGTATAATGTGATGAGCTCTGCTCTGAAACGCAATTTTGGCGCACGGATCCCGAGGACATCAATGCTACAAAAATGTCCAGTCTCACAATTTAATTCTAAATAATCACACATTCAGAAAAAGTCACATAGGAAACACCATTAGCTGACAGATCTTCCTGTTCTAAACAGTAGGGCAGACTTGCCTTTCTAAAATTTCCTTTGAACATCTCTTCATCCTACAATTAATTTGCAAACGGACATCATCAGCTTAATTGTTCACAACAAAAGGTCTCTTATTTCAATCAGAGAAAAATTAAAAGGTTACTTTATTTTTTTCAAGAAACTTAAATACTAGAGGAATTAAAACTTAGATAAAAGCAGTCTGCTGATGGCAGCCACTGCTGCATTTCAGTCTACACTGTGATTTCTATTCATTTCAATTCCAATTATCATTTTGAATTTTTCATCTTCAAGACGTACGCCTTAGCAATCTATGATAGGAATGGGTTCCCAGATACGAAGTTCAATCCTTCCATGGGAAAAAAGGATGATCCACTCACCCAAAAGAAAATATGCTGCTTTTTAAAAACTTTCTTCAGACACATGTTATAAAATATAATGGTGGGAAGTCTTTTTTTCTAGAGCAGAGTCTAATTGTGTTATTTCTGTGTAGGGAAGTATTTAAAGATACAGCGTTCTAAGCTCTATAGGCTACTCACTTTGACAAGTACTTGTGTTTGATTTGTTTATAATTCGCACAAGATGTTTTAGAAATTAGTATTTAGAACTGCCTCAGGTAAATAGGCAAGAGAACTGAATTTAACACAGTGTAAGCATCCCATAGTTAATCAATGGCAGAACTTAGAACTGAAACTCCTCCCATCTGGTTGCAGAGGCTCAACTCTTAACAAACAACAAACAGAAACAAACCAGACAACAACAAAACAGCTTATAAAACCTCTGTGCATCCACCATCAGAACTCTTATACTATGTGTGCACACACACACACACACACACACACACAAATCCGAAGCAGACTCCGGTTTGCCACCACACCTGAGGATGTCCTTGTCCCATGCACCATTAGGATATTATATGATTGACACATCACCCAGTTTCCTTTGCCAACTTTCAAGCATGTGCAGCATCAGATTTTTGTGGCACCGCAATACCCTACATGTCTTTTAGTATTTTCCTGCATCCTTACAATTGTATTTAGAATCAAAATTTTATATTAAAAGTATGAGTTCAAATACACATTTTCTCTAAGGCATATTAGAATAAGCCCATGAGTGTTCATTTAAGTCATTTCCATACTTAGTGAAACTCTGAGCAAAGGGAACTTTGTGTTCACTCTTTTTACGTTATAAAACTTAAAATTAAAATATGTGACCTCTCCTGCAAACTTTCTCCAATTTATTTTTTACCTTTATCATTTCCTGGACCATCTGTGACTTGGAGGGCTCAGTACTGAATGAGTTTTGCTTCAGAAAAAGCTATAAGGAACGGCGTCTTTAAGGTATTTTTTTTTAAATAAACAATTTTGTTTAGCAAATTTTAATTCATATGAAATGGAACATTAATTAAACTTAAGAGCCTTTGGAATTCAATATACGAAATTCACTTAGACCACCACAGTCAATCAGCTCATTGTTGTAAGACAGGTACTTGCAATAAATATCAGTACATTTATTCAGAGAAAAAAGTATCATCATCTCAAGCTTTATTACAAGTTTGTGAGTCATAAATAACAAAGACCAAATTAAAACACAGGATTAAAGCAGCCCTTTTATGTGCTGTTAAAGACATGCTCTTCCTCCACTCTCTGTGCTAGAGTCAATGAATGAAGGAACATTCCAGGAAACGGACTGGAGACCCATACTCCTGGAGGCAGGGGTTCTGGTGTCTGCACAGTGGCTCGGGACCAGACCAAAATGGAAAGGATGCTGGTCACTGATACTTAGAAAAGAGACCCCTGGCTCATATGGCTAACACCTCCTGAGACACAGCAAGACAGCAGAAGGACAGAAAGCAGCAGGAGGATTAGGAGGATTAGGAGGACTGATCCCGGAGCCAAGCTGCCTGCATTTCTCTGGCCCTCTGCCAGCCTGGGCACTTTACGCAACCACCCTGTGCCTCAGGCTTCTCTTCTCTAAAATGAAAATAACACTATCCACTTCACAGATTTGTTTTGAGGAGGAGATTAATTAGCATTTCTATAGCATTAAAACAATACTTGGCACCTAGGAAGCAGTATATTTATATCCATATCATTATACCAAAAATTTTGGGGGGGGGGCGCCCGGGTGGCGCAGTCGGGTTAAGCGTCTAACTTCAGCTCAGGTCATGATCTCACGGTCTGTGAGTCTGAGCCCCGCACTAGGCTCTGTGCTGACAGGTCAGGGCCTG